CTAACATATCAGCTAAACATCTATAGCAAATGAAGTCTGGTAGAAATTAGCTTTGAATTGTCAAAATAATAAATTCTACGTAATTGGCGCATTAAGATCAATGTTCTTTTGTAGACAGAGTTAGCGTAAGTTGTCCACATTGTTGCCATAAGTGATATTTTATGTTTTTGTTTTTGTTTTCAATTTCAATTTTATTTGTATAGCCCCAATTCACCCAACAGTACCGACAGAGGCAAGGAAAAACTGTCTTTTGACAGGCAGAAACCTGAGGACAGACCCTTTCGTCTCCTAGGTGGGTGGTTCATCTGCCCTGACCCAGTTGGGCGGAAGAAAGAAGAGAGACAGATGTAGATGTTTTTGTTTTTTGACGTAGTTTTGACCGCAGTTTATCTTTCCTCTAGTTTTTAATGCTAAGCTAGGCTAAACACATCCTGGGCCACTCTCAGTATTGGATCAACAGAGATCAATATCCATCCTCTCATCTGTCACTCGGGGTAAAACAGACAATTAGAGTGTTTAACCAAATTGTGGACTAATCCTTTAGCTTCTGGTTAGCTATCAAGTTAATGCGCCAATTAGACAACTAGATCTTTAGCTAACAATCGTTAGCCCATTAGCACCTAAAGTTTCTGTTTTCTCCATTAAAAAATAAAATCTGAGTCAGAATACAGTTTGGATACAGACCATTAGCTTGATGGCTAATTTAATTAACTCGGTTAGCTAAACGTTAATTCCAAACTGCCTCTTTAAGCCGTTAGCATTTCGTTTTGCAGGAGTAGCAGGCTCTGCAGATGATACGCAGTAAGTGAAGTGTGTGAGGAAACCAACAGCCAGCCTGATGCATCATTAGAGCTAACAGTTAGTCTGACACAAACAGCTATTTCTGGAGAGAAGACTGAAAACTGCACAAAGCTGCTAATAGTTACACTGACAGCTAATGGACCGTCTGTGTCTGTTTTTGTTTGTCTGCCTGTGTCTTCCTGTTTCACCTCTCCACTCGAGATATATATATATATATATA